GCGCCACAGCATTTAGCGGTTAACGCGTGCAATGAGAATGAGAGAGAAGGAGAGAAAAAACGAGATGAAAGACGACGCGAGGAGGAAACCAGAGACGCCACTCAACGGCATTATTCGAACTGATGCGGTGAATTGGCGCTGACGACATCGCACAGAGCCAATCCGACAGTTTGTTTATTGGCCGCGCGTTGGCGGATTCCTCGCGGTCTCTTTAATTGAGACCTCGTCGATCGAGGCTGATACGGGTACGCGGCGAATCGCGCTCGGATTTCGTCGATCAGCATCATTGCGACATAAAGAACAGAGAGGCAGAGAACCCTGATTATTTTAACGTTTAGCTTTCAAGCAAGAAAGATGTGGGCTAGAAAATTTATTAGACAATTATCACATATAATTTTCAGATTTTGCAATTCACAAACTGATGCTTCTAATCGTGTCGTGTTCCTCACAATTGTTAACAAAGTCGAAATAAAATTTAGGATAATTTTGTTATTTAATGATGGATACTTATTAGATTTATAAGAGTTCAATTAGAGATACGTAACCTAAATTATAAAAATCTATAATTTAAAAACACATAATGACTTGTTTAATTCTTTTATACATTTTTTTATGAACTAATTCTTTCATTATATATTATATATTTTAATTTTATTTTACACAATAATTAATTTATGTTTGTAAAATAATAAAAAAATTTAATTGTCTGAATAATTTTGTAGAGTAAACATTGAGTTGCACACAATACTTCATCAAAGTTAATCAGATCTAAATGCATTAGCAATGGATTTCAGCTACATTAGGATACTTTGGCGATAATGCAATCGGATTATCATTCTGTTTCTTTACCCAAACGTTTGCAAAAAAAGGATATGTTGCATGAGGATTATTTCTCGAGTCTTAATAAGGAGCAGCCCTCTCATAAAAAATTGTAATTATGCAGGTTGTATCGGTTGTCCGAAGCTGCATTTAATGATTCTCTGCCTTGATAAGTGTTTATGTGTTAGAAATTAAACGATTATCGATGCATGTCCTCGATGCAACGTAGATGCAGTGTGAAAGAAAAAAACAACTCATTGACAACGAGAACTGTTAATAAGTATAATATAGTAGCGAAATTAAGTTTTGCGTATATTTTCACGATCCTATCCACGATTCATGTTGTTCATTGAAAAACAGTGATTTATTAAGATCTTGTAAGAGATCTTGGGTTCCCTCGAGCGTTCGGCAATGATATGCAAATAAGTTGCAAAGTATAAATGGCAAAATAAACGATTACATTTAAATATAAATATATTATGATATGAATATATTGATTGAACGAATCGTTATTCATGATCAAACTATTTAAATATTATTGTAATAATAAATACGAGTTATATTAATTCAAATAAATAAGTTATATATTTAATAATTTTCCATTTTCTAATTGTAGATGCAGAAAGTGCGATGTGGAAAATGTGCACTGAATATCGCTACAATTTTTTGAAATAAATCACCTAATTTTCATTCAATTTGTTTAATAATATCATTAATGAATTGATGATAGCTTATTTATAATTTATTAGTTGTTAATTTTTCCCAATAAATGGTCGCAATCTATTTTATTAATTACATAACAATAAAAAATGTAGTTATTTTTTCCTCTAAAAAAATTTAATTCCATTATACGTCATTCCATTATACGTAATATATAATACAACGCAGAGAAATAAATAAGGACAGGACCTTCACTGGACCTTGATTGAAGTATCTAATCGTTTGCTACGCGTATTTGCTTCAATAAATTTTGCGATTTTCGCGGACATTTCGTTCGAGCCCGCGCACGATTTCTACGTAGTTGCCATGTAGAGAACGTCGCTAGGAAATGCAAATGCAAATCGCGTTATTTCCCTGTGTATGCGTAATGGCCCATTATGCGCACGTGGGCTCTATCACAAAGAAAACTGACGTCTGCAGCGCGTTTTATGCACGCGTCGTGTGCGCGGATTGCGCATAATGAGGAACAACGAAGTCCGTCCTGTTCAAAAGTTTCGCAAAAAGAATCATTGACCCTCGGCACGCACACTTGCTTTTCGATTGTCGACCATCCGTCGATTTATGAGCTTATGGATATAAGTAATCTCGATTTCTCACTCGCTTTTGATAGAGCGATTCGTCCTGCTATAGCGATTGGTCCACTGCTATACGTAACCCTCGATCATTTCGTGAAAAATGTGATAATGAAACTTTCCTTAGCATGCATGTGACGAGTAATGTACGAAGCTGAGAAGAAGCTGATGAGAATACTTCAATATACTAATGATTGATTAAAATAATTTATGGCCCTATTTAGAAGTACAAAAAAATAATATAAATACTATGAAAAAGAAAATTCTATACGTGTATGTATACTGAAAGCATGAAATTTCTTCATAAAATAAGAAACGAAGAATGTAAAAAATTTAACGAGCGAAATGGCAAAATATTGATAATTAAATGTAAAGCTTATGTGATATTTAGTAATAAAATATTTAGTTAGATATTCTAGTTATAAAATTAATTCTATGTAAAACTATTTTTATGCAAATAAAAAATATCTATAATATAATATATTATAGAACTGTATATGTATGATAACACAAACTATAGAAATCAAAGTCTTGAACGGTTTAGCTGAATCTTAATGCTATGTATGATTCTTGTGTGAATTTATATATTACGTGTAGTCCTCAAAAACGCGCGCCGAAATGATTTTTCGGTCTTGAAAACGCTAACTCTACTAAATTACCGCAATAATATCACAAGTTAAATTGACTAGCAATTTAACAAATTTTTGCTTATTCACATCTTCGAAACGATCTTAATAATGTTGAATAACATATTAAAATCTGTAAGTAATTAATTCTTATTGCGAAAAATATTACTTCGGTCGGGAGTCGAATCCGGATCTCTTGCATTCTGTGCGAGCGTCCTAAATCTTTAAACTACCGAGGCCTAAAAAATATCTATGTCTATATATATACAAATAAATTTAATTGGTTCATTTTATTTAAATAAAAATGATTAAAATTTCCATTTAAGATGAAGGTAATTCTGCTATTCTCGTGGCACCCAATGTACTTGGGCAAATCACATGTACCTACTATTTCTCTCTTTTCCTGTATGAACAAAAGACTGCATTTTCCGGGAAACAATAGTGCGGTTTCGCGGATAAGCCGAAGCAGATGGCCCATGTGATTAGTCTGACATTTGCACCGGCGGTGTCTCCGGTTGGCACGTGCATTCCAACGTGAATCTCACTCTCGTCTGCCGGGAATTGCAGTCTTCATTGCAACCCAACGAGGACTTTAACCCTCGTGTTTGAATGACGAATCACCTGTAGCACTGTCCGAACTTGACAACAATGATTCAAATTGTTCCTTCTTATTTACATAATAAATTAATTAAGAATAATATATTAATTAAAAGTAATTGTAATCTATTAAGTGAAGAATTTGTCAGTTTGCTTCAAATTAAATTCTTTTCAACAATTGCACGTTAATTAATACCAAGAGAATTAACTTGCAAAACTTCTCTCTAAATCTGAATCAGTGGATAGTCACTTTAATTATTCAATGGCATATTTTGCACTGATAATCAATGAAGTTCAAAACAAAAAAAGGAAAAATGTTTGAGCATTATGTATAATTGAAATATTTACACATTAATTTCAATTTTCCAATATCATATTCATTAATTTTAAGCAAAACAAGATTAGTTAGGTCACAAAATAAAAATTAACTAGGTTAGGGATCTCACATTTAATTCACTGATTACCAATGGCATACTTGGCACTGATATCAGTGATTATCCACTGATTCAGATTTAGAAAGTTTGTAAAGTTAAACGGTCAATGCTTGGAACGCGCACATTATTTCAATATAGAGAATTAAAAAGCTCTTTCTGGGTTGTCATTATAAAAATATTTTGGCAAGTTCGATTTCCAAGTCCCTTTAAGTCTATTACTTGCTCGTCGTTACTAGACTATACGTATAAATAATTTCTTCTTTTACTTTTTCTCTCGCCTTCTAATAATGATCACTGGTCTGTCCGAGAAACGAGTTTTCTTCGACTCGCTAATTATGTCTCGGTTAATGGGCTACAACGATAATTAACTCGATAATAAAGCGTAGGTGCTTTCCTCAGTGTTTCCTTTATGCACGTAGATTAAACGGCAACAGTTATCGCCTTCCGCGCGTATCGAGAGATACGCTTCGGCTAACGAGGAGAATGTTCGGAGCAGAAAAACTGAGATTTTCTACCGTAGGTTGCCATTCTATTCGAACACAAGCAAGAGATTAGGGTCAAGGCGCGAAGAAACAAACTTCTTACTTCTTATATATTTACAGGATACTCCGATATTAATCATATATAATAGTATTTGTTTCACAGACAGAATTTTCTTTTAACATTTACCCTGAAATTCATGGTCGTGGGATAATATGATATTTCAAAGAATGTTATATGATTCTCTCTGTTTATTAGTACTTCCACAAATAAAATATATCAATATATTTTATTTATTTTACTAAAAAAGCATAGTAAAATTTCAATAATTTTAAAATATGTTGGACAATTTATGATTCTTTATTATTTTAAATAGATATCAAGTAATAATAAATATATGACATATCTTATACAAATTTTATAGTATAACATGATATTTTTAATTTGATTTGGTCGCTTCTGATCGATACTTTGCGCAGAAGATTAATGTCTGCTTCGTATTAGCTACCTAATTATGCTTCAAAATTTAAGTAATCCCATAGTAAAGTAATAAAAAAGACATACAGGAAACAAGTTTTAAAGCATAACTTCCTTGATAATATTAAACGTATAATAAAATAATCATATAATTTTATTATTAGTCAAAATATATAGCATGCTTGTATTAAATAAAAAATTGTCATCAAAAGTGTTCAAAAATAATCTCATTTATACGTTGTGTCTAAATTATTTTTTTCTCTTTTCTGTCGCAGACGCCTGCGGACTCTCGGACGTGGCGCACATCGAATCCCTTCAGGAAAAATCGCAGTGCGCCCTGGAGGAATACTGTCGGACCCAATACCCGAATCAACCGACAAGGTTTGGCAAGCTGCTGCTGCGATTACCGTCGTTACGCACAGTTTCGTCGCAGGTGATCGAACAGCTCTTCTTCGTGCGGCTAGTAGGCAAGACGCCGATCGAGACGCTCATCAGGGACATGTTGCTGAGCGGCAACAGCTTCAACTGGCCCTACATATCCACGATGTGACACTCTGTCTGGCGGCAGCTAGCTTCCGCATAATATTATACCTCGAACAGCGATGTCGCGGCGCCTGATAATGACCCGCGAACTCGATTCGCGTAAGAGTAGAAAAGAATCGGGCGCGGCGAGGGTGGGCGACACCGCGAATCTCGAATATACTTGATACGAAGGGCGAGGACGGCGAACAATAGGGCGCGATATCGATCTTGTTTGTCTCAAGATCTCGAGGTCGAAGATCAACGCATCATTCTTGTCAACGTCGTCATTAACCCATTTACGTATCCGCGTTGCTCTTAGCGCCGTGACGCGACAATATTCTTTGTCATTGATACTTATTGTACTCGCGTTTTGCTAGACCTGTACGGTACTCACGACGAATCAAAATATCTCAATCAGAATTTGAAGACTTTTGTACCCTGAGCAGAGACGCAACTTGATATCAGAAAGAGAAAAAGAACGCAAAAAAAGAAGAAAAGGATTAGATAGCGAGATTTAAGTAAAATCATTAATAAAATTCGACCGAAGGTAATAAGATAATACGCGCAAAGTGGTGAGAAAGATGCTTGCGATAAGGGAGATCATCAGAAGAGAAGAATTTTTGATGACATGCAGAGATAAGCGAAAGAGAAAGAAGTAAAGAGAAAGGAAAAGAAAACAAGGAGAAAAATATAATAAAGACGTTGCTCATTCAGAAAATCGCGGAGGCGCCGAGCGGCCCGACAGCGTCCAAGAACATCCACTGGGCGTTAAAACTTAGTACTCACTAAAATGGTCAAGTGAAAGAGAGGAGAGGTTTATGCGTGTGTGCATGAGTAAAAGTGTGAGAGGAAGCAAATAAACAAGAATGAGAGAGGGAGAGAGAGAGAGAGAGAGAGAGAGAGAGAGAGAGAGAGAGAGAGAGAGATTGAAAGAGATATAGAGGTTTGGGGGAGGGGGAATAGATAGATAGATAAGCGTTTTGTTATATGGTAAAGAATGAAATAACGGAGAGGGTGGAAGGAAGAGGAAGACGAGCGTGGCGTGAAGAAGTCATAAATTAGCATTTATAATCAACGATGAGGGGGAGAGAGAGCTGGTGGATCTCCCATCGCTATCTCGAATCAATCTTCGCGTCGAGTACTCGCTATTAGTCGAGTCATGCCATGGGCCTTAGTCATTCGTCTTGACGCCTCCTCTACGAGGCTTACGTTCTCCAAGTTCATAGCCCGTGAAACATTCTTTTGGAAATATCCCTTTCGGTCGGATGACGCTCGCGCCTGCACGCACATCGCAGATCTAAATCCCACGACGTTGCTTTCGTCGAAGTCGTCTGTGATCCTCGAGGATTATTGATGGTAAGTCATGATTTTATCTCGGTTATTTTCGCATAGCTATACAATCAAGTATCCTAATTCTTCGATTTTTCGACGTTAAGATCTTAAAACATCAGAAATGACTTTACCCTGTGTCTCGCAATAAAATATTTTCGCAAATTTTTTTCGAAATAGTGTAAAATATACTCGAATCGAAAAATTCTCATCTTCTTCACGAAAAGTATTTTTTTTAAATTATCAAATTTTCGCATAATTTTAATTAATATTTTACATAAAAAAATCGAAGTAGGATAATATATCTGAGTTTTATATTAAAAAAAAAGTCATTATTAATAAATTGTTAAAAAACTTCTTTTTTATAAAATAAAATACCTTAATTGTTGCACTATCGTTCAGAAATATTTTCCTATCTTGATTTTTATATGTATCTTTTTTATATGTCTAAATTCCATTCTATAATTAATAAAT